AAAAAAAAAAAAAAAAACATGTTATGCAGAAAAATAAACTGTGCAACGTCTGCCTCAGGGTCACATCGAAATTCTTTACCTTTTTTCTTTTTGACCAGCCGAGCAAGTGTCTCGGGCCACTCTGGTAGCCTAGATGCAGATAATACAGTAGACGAATGCAGACTTACACAGATTTGTTGATATATACAGTAGATCATATATATGGATATGCCAGTTGACTGAGGGGGAAACGGACGATCCAGCCATACTCCTGCGAGGACTGATGAAAGTCAACAGGCCAAAACCTGAAAAAATGATGGTAGCAGAGGTTACAAGAGCATCGGTGTTATGGGCCATTTGGACCCTGTGCAACAAAAGTTGTAGACAAGGACCAACCACGCCGCTGAAGACATATAAAAAAAAGAGCAATGGAGAATATCAAGATAGCTCTCTTGGCGGATCTTCACCGTTGCAGGCACGCCGGGGAGGGAAAGGAAAATAGGTTTTAGGAAAGATGGTGCCCGTACACACAACTGCTGATCTGGGGACACACAGACAGGCCAAATGCAGTTTGGCCTTCTCCTGGTGCGCCATGTACCTCGACAGGACAATAAGATATCTTTAGTCGTCCACATAGCTAGAACTAGCAACATAGGCCCCATGGGCAGAACCTGATTTGTATAATTATAATTAGGAAAATGGGTAAAGAATGAGGATTGTACTATATTGGGGGAACAGGGTAGGGTAGCCGAGGATAAAGGAGGAGGATAACACAATAGAAGGATCATGAAGACGTGGGTGAAAAACATGAGTATAGGGGAAAGTGAAGATCAAAATGGAAGAAGACAATCAGGTGGTGGTTATCGGATCCTCCCGCTGCGTGACAGGGTGCTGCCAGTAAGCTTCCGGGCCAGCAGGAGCAAACCTGAAGGATGGCTAAAGTTTGGGGGGTGGGATGCTCAGTAGCAGTCCGTCCCTTGTACAGGGGACTAGTATTGCAAGGGCAAGGTCGACCGCTTACTAAACTTCTCTCTTCTTTTTCTCATGCTTGCTGGTAATAAGTAATCGAACTGATGCCCCCAAAAATAGAAAGGCCCTTGTGTGTTTTTCTGTATAAAAAAAATGGAAAACGAAAAGGAATGCACTGGTACTGGGATCAGAAATCTTACAGTAGCTCATCATGTTGACGAAGAATTGTTAAACTGGCGACAGTCTTGGAGTTAACCTGAAACCAACTTGAGCCTTCATCTGCTGTCTCATAAAACCTCCGGTTAGAATTCCAAAGTGTATATATGTAAAAGAATAGTCAATGGAAGACAAATTGCATCTTTTCTCACAAATCGTACCCCTTCCGGGAATTCCTTGCATCGGATAGAAGAACGGCAGCAATTGTTTCGTGCTGAATTCAAGTGCACTCTTGCATTCAACACATGATTTGATCGCTGGTACGAGAACATATTCTGAGTTCGCAACATGAAGAGCATGATCAGCAGCAAGGACAGGATTCATGAAAAGACTGTTGTCATGAAAGTTCAACTTCTCAATCACAACTCTAATTGTATGCTCCTTGTACTTCTTGTCTCTCCATGAATTTTCACAGGTTCATGACATTAGCAATGCGTGGATATAAATCAGGTAGATCGCGTGGAAGAGCATTGCAAATCTATATCACTTGAATAACATCAACAAGGCTTATGGGCTTAATGAACTCATCCATTAACGTCACTACAAACACACATTGCAAATCTATATCACTTGAATATCCATGAACAACACTAATACACACACATGCATACACACATGCACACACATACAAACACACATGAGCGCACATAAAGACACATACAGACACACACGCAAATACGCACAGACACATAAATTGTTAAAAAAAATATATGTTTTTTATCAAAAAATCACATGCATACATACAGGCGCGCGAACACACACACACACACACACACACACACATCCCCTTATGGCTGGCAATGCAGGCCAAAAAGTTCTGGGAGCTGGGGAACGCAGAGGTCACAGACCTCCTCAAGAGTACCGTGGTGGACAAATTCGATTTCGTCATCGAAATTCGTCAGGGAGACTTATTGGTGGTTTAAAATGAGGAAAAAGAAACGATACAGATACCATAACCCCTCTGTGTTATTCAAGGCCCATTGTAGTACTTAACTAGGCTACCAGTCGGGCCGCCTCAATCACCTTGTTCGTCCGGGCGGCCTGCCCGTGCAAGGGCCAGGAAAGATACAAAGGGAAAAAACAATTCTAAAAGACCTCAAAAAATTGTTAAAAAACTATATTGAAACAGACAAAAAGGTCAGCAAGATTGCAGACCAGGTAAGAATATAACAAGAAAGTACACGTCGATACTGCAAGGAACATGAATGTGGACGAAGCACTGAAATCCAAATTGCAAATCAAGTTGAAGTCCAAGTAGTCAAAGCAAGAGCAGATAGCACAATGGAACCAAGATAACCATCTATTTGAGAACGATACAGCAGAATCGTGAGTCAATGTTCATGCCTTATCGGGCAACACCAACAACATAACCCAATGTAGCTCTCTCTGTTGAATGGCACCAGGTGCCCTATCTACTCTACAGCCTGTTCCTACAACTACAGCATGGAAGCAAACAGACAACTTGATGACCAGTGAGTGATGACGTTAACACCAATACAGACAACTTGATGACCAGTGAGTGATGACGTTAACACCAATGCCGACCTCCTCTCCACCAGGTACGTCTATCTCTTCTTCCTCACTCTCCCTTGTTATCCCACACAGCGCCCTTCACCTTCCGAAGAACCACCTTCGCCCTCACCTCCTCCAACGCTCTCATGCAGCCCGACTATGGTTGCCAGCGCCCTGCGCCCAGGCTACGCCCTACCGCTTAGCGCCATCCTGCCGCCTCCCAGCCTAGCGCAGCGCAGCACCCGCTCTCGCAATGCAGCAGCGTGTCGGCCTTGCTCGCAATGGCCAAGATCCCGGCTCACTCGCCCGCTCTGCCTATATGCCAGTGTCGCGTGTGAGCGGCCTACCTTGAGCCTGCGTCTGGGTCCCAGTATCTGCGCCCAGGCCCAATGCAGATGGGGCCCAAGTAATACAGTTGCGCCCCTTATGCTAGGGCCATTGTCCAGATTCAGACTGTCTGTGTCGCCAAGATCCCGGCTCACTCGCCCGCTCTGCCTATATTCCAGTGTCGCGTGTAGATTGAAAAGATGTCAATGATGATTACTGCATTGTCTGAGTTCTACATCTACTTCCTTCGGGACTGCCTTGAACGTGAGACACTTGTAGTCGAAGTTGATGGTTGCTTCCTTTTCCTGTTCTCTCGAAGACTTTCAACCATATCAACCTCAACACTACTAAACTATGGCATATTATTTGCCTCCCGACCAGTCTTCTTCTGTTTGAGTTGTTCATTATGTCGTTGAACTTGTCGAGTTTGCTTGTGCTGCGATGTCGTTGCTTGACTTCCCTTGGAAGTTCGTCTGTGTCGAAGGATATCATTCTTCTCTGCTGATGGTGAGCCACTTTGTGACCAGAGGTCTTCGACGATAACTTTATCTCCATTGTTCACTTGTGATGCTTCGCCTTGAGGGGGTTGAGCATCTGCAATATTTGTGTCTTCATTGACATCAGCATCACGCTCATTTTGTGTTGATCCTTCTTGCTGTGACTGTTGAACATCTTCAGCATCTGCAACATTTTTGTCTTGAAGTTCATGGGCGTCAGGTTCAAACTCGTTTTCTGCTGACCGTTCTTATTGTGACTCCCGACGATCTGCAACGCTTTCGACATGAGTTGCAACCTGCTTTTCTAGTGATCTTCGTCGCCGAAACAGCCGAACTTCAACAATGTCCTCATCCTCATCATTTGCAACTTGTGTTCTTGTAGATACTTTTTTGCAACCCGGGTTATGCATGTCTGTTGCCTCAAATTGCTCTCCATTGGCCTCTTTTTCAGTTGCAGCCTCTTCTTCCACTGCAGCCTCTTCTTCAAGTGTAGCCTCTTCTTCAACCACTGCCTCTTTTTCAACTGCAGCCTCTTCTTCAGCTGCAGCCTTTGCAAAATCCTGATCGTCATCTTCGTCAAATCTTGATAATTGGCTATAATTGCGGAACAGTGTCGGTCCTTTTTCATTTGGCCTGCTCATGGACATACGAAGTCATTCAATGCAAAATGGAGTTAGTCCAGATGCTTTGATCCCAAACAACAGGCTATTCCAAAATTTTCAAGGACGAGAGAAATTAGAAATATTAATTAGACATAAGCTAGGCTGGTCCCCAGGCGGCCCGGCTGGGGGAAGGTCGCTTGGGTACCCTCCCAGGTGGCCTGGGCCGGGCAGGGTCCGGGCAGGGTCCCGGGCAGCCCCAGCGCATAATATTAAACAATTAAAATTTTAGAAATTTCAAAAAAATCTGAAAAAAAAATATGTTGTGTAAAACTGCAGCACAAGCAACTTTTGCCTGAGAGTTGCCTCGAAATTCCTTATTAATTTTAAGATTAAAAAAATAAATGAGGAGAAATGAGGTAAGATATACCCTTTTAAACCCCTCTAGTCACTGTTTAGAGTAACTGTATACCCCCCAAACACCCCTGGGTGACCCACCGCCGAAATGAGGTAAGGCCGGATTCTGACTGCTCATGTCGAGCGCAGTCCTGTCCTGAAGTCAGTTTCTTTTTTGGGGGGATCCTTCCCTTTTTTTTTACCTGCCTGGTTTTTCCGCGTGATCCCCCCCGGCCCAACTGGCCCGGGAATGCCTGGTCGGGCGGCAGCCCAGCCTAGGACATAAGAGCATAGATACAATAGAAATACTTTGAATATAGTAACTGAAAACATGCAAGCAGTCAGGAATGCCAGTAGTTACCTACGATTGGGGTAGAAGAAAGCTAGAAGGTACCATGAAATATGTCCAAGAAGGGTACTAGATAATTCCTACTTATGAACTAATAAAGGCAACCCAGACATGGAAGTGATACTCGGAGACATATCTAATTGGGCTACTAAATACTAAAAGAGCAATGATCATACACAAGGGCCAATGTCTATTAGAAGAATTTTTTTTGAAAAAGAAAGAAGTTCTGACACTTCAGTTACATCTGCACAGTCTTGCCGAGCGAACTCGGAGTACATGAGAAAGAGGTCCAACAACCTCGAAACGGCCACACAAGTTAAGACAGAGTTTAACAGAGTCACACAAATCCAAACAACACTGCGAAAGGATTGACAAACAGGAAGTGCCCCCTGAGCATCCATGGGAAGACCTCAAATACTAAGTGGATGTCAAATACCGGATGGATTTGCAAAGAATGAGACGCGAAATGCAGCAAGAGCCGTACAAGAAATCAGAAACGGTTGACAAATTCGAGTGCGAGGTTTTGGTAAATGAGACGCTGCGTATTCTAGAAGGCAATATGCTCAAATATGTGTGGTGGTCTGGTTTAAGGGAAGCATTGTCCGGGGGCTCGCTGTCATAACTTCATTCCAGAGACCGTGGGTTGAGAGTACAGGCAGTAAACATAATATCAGATTACCAGACCAACTTTGTAAATAAGAAAAAATACGAAACAAGCTACGCTGTCAATTATCCAATCTTGAGACGTCTTCCCCGGACATCTCCGAGAGACGATCAATGGGGGAGTTGTCCGGGATCCCGAGCAACCGTTTCTTCACAAATTAAAAGCAAAAAAAAAAAAAAAAAGTAGGTGTCTGTGCACCTTACGCAGAGCCTGTAAAATTTTAGCTCATGTGGAATTAAAAAAAAAATTGTCAAACACCGTGGGGGAGGATGGTTGAGGTAGGTTTGGAGTCCGCACACCAACACATACACACAGAGGGACACACACACACACACACACAATCACATAGGCACACACACACATACACACACACACACACTAACACACTAACACACCAGAGGTAAGGAGGTGTAGAGAACAGTCCTCTACACCTCTCCACGAGCTCGTCCAGATTCAGGTATTTCACGCCTTAATCTGAACATGTCTATGGAGAGGTGCATCGATTGATCAATCAATCAATCAATCAATTTAATCTTAATTCATTGGATTAATTGACTTATTGATTGATTGACTGATTGAAAACTAACAAAAAAGCACCCTCTCTTTAAAAAAAAAAAAAAAAAAAACCCAATCTAGGTCGTTGAGATCGAAGATCTAACGATCTCAACGACCCTGATTGGGCCTTTTTTTTTTTTATAGTTTCGGAGCCCCTTTTAACCTTTTAGAAAATACCTCTCTCCTACCTGTCGAACTCTTTCTTAGTGATGAGAAGGGTTCACCGCTTTCCTCTGTAAAATTTATAACACAGTCCTTAGTACGGGCTCCCTTCTCGGGTATTTTGTGAGGTACAACAGAGGCATTATATTGATAGGCTCTTTTTTTTTTTGATAAAGAAATAAAGCAAAATTTCCAAAACAATACAACAAATTTGTGGGAGAATCTATATTCAGTACTAATACGCGGACTTCTACCTCCAGGAAAACATAAACTTACAAAGTCATTGCTGCAGCCACATTCCAGTCTGCCAAACTCAATTTGAAGAAATCATGTAGCGTGTTAAAAAATGTTGTCCTTTCCTCAGGAGACGGGATCTTCTTCTCGAAAACAACTCCTTTTTTTTTTTCCATGTTATACTGCGAAAAATTCCCTTCAAAAGCTGCCAATGCAGAAAATGTTAATACCATTATTCAATCTAAGAGATAGTCATATATATTATTCGTATTTATTGACAACGTAGAAGTGCATTGTAAGAATAACTGTAATAAGGTTGTCAAAGATGTGGAGGGTAGAAATCAAAGGGGTTATGGATGGTTTGAGTTGGTTGTCGCTGACGAGAGACGTGAAAGTGATGTTGGGAGGGGATGGGATCTGGGGCGAGGTAGTTCATTCCGGGTTAGAGATTTCTTCCACCGGTGTGTTTGGTTTGTTTAGTCTCTCCTGAACTTTTTTCATATCGGCTTTGCACATGCTAAACATCATTCAGTTTTACACACACAGTAACACCCCAAGCCAAACCAACCTCGCATCCCTACATTTCCACACACACTAGCAGGCAGTACATGTAATGATAATCCCGCCTGGTCTCTGATACATAAATACCACTACTGTCTTCACCCGAATACAACGCCCGGTCATTATCGTTGTATTTGGACGGAAAGTTGTCCCAAATACAGCCATAATGGTCGGGCGTTGTATTCGGGTGAAGACGGTAGGCCTCCAGCTATACACATACACACAGACTGCTATAGAAGATTTGTGGCAGGGTATGTATAGGGTTTAGGGTTTTAGTACAACCAATCACAACACAAGTCTATCTACAACCAGTTTCTGAGGCTACCCACAGTAGGCTAGTACGTAGAGTGAGTTATCTTGGAAAGCTCACAGCTCAGGGACGTAGAAGCACCCGTGGTATAAATTTTAGAAAAAGTTGACATTAACCAGAAGAAGCATACAGGGCTGATGAGCAACATGCCTTTGAGCATTTCAATCAGCAAACAGTTAAGAGTAACATAGAGACAGCCTAAAGGGTGAAGAATAGAGGTACAGGTCAGAGAATATCTGGATAGTAGCAGTAAGTTAAGTTACACAGGCGTGAGACATGGTACATCCTTCTGGAATAGAAGCAATCAATGGAGCCTTCCTCACAGGGCCCACTAAACGTGGATACTCATATCACCACCTTAAGTGACAACCTGCAATCAGGTTAAAAAAAAAAAAAAAAGGAACTGGACCATGGTTACGCCGGACCCGGACCCGGACAGAGCATGATGTCCGGCCGGAAAGGCAGTATACAGCCTGTGCCTCTCTCTCTCTCTCTCTCTCTCTCTCTCTCTCTC